AAACCTTAACCCAAGACCCTAAACCCCAAACCCAAACCAAGACCCTAAGCCTTAAACCCAAAAGCCTTAACCCAAGACCCTAAACCCTAAACCCAAAAACCCTAACCCAAGACCCTAAACCCCAAAACCCAAAAACCCTAACCCAAGACCCCAAGCTCCGGCCCCGAAATTGCCGAAAACCTCCTTTGGCGACCCTCAAGTCATTGAGACCGAAAACCGGGAGAAAGCCCGAAAGCCCCAAAACCGTTGCAGGATCTTGGAAAGGGCCCCGAAAGAAACTTCTTTAGGGTTTAATGTAGGGGCCTTCGTAATTTCCTATATTCTTTTGGAGGTTCCTTATTATAATGATAGTATACCCCCAAACTCCTATTCTAATTATTCTGGCTTCTACATTAGGGTTTGTTACCCTATGGAACTATGGCTCCTTGTAATAACTATAGTAGAATACACCACCAAAAAACTTATTCTGATCATTAAGGCCCCTGCATCAGGGCTTAGGGTTTGTTACCATATGGAACTTATATAATCATAGTATAGTGTACCCCCCAACACCCGATTCTAATTATTTTTTTAGGCCCCTACATTAGGGTTTGTTACCCTATGGAACTTATACTATTTTCGGGGATCCTTGTTATAGTTATAGTATAATATACCTCAAAACCCTATTCGTAAGGCCCCTACATTGGGGCTTAGGGTTCGTTACCCTATGGAACTTATACCGCCCTAAACCCTAAACCCTAAACCCTAAACCCTAAACCCAAAACCCAAAACCCAAAACCCTAAACCATACCACCCGGCCAAAGCCCCAGGTTGGAGCACGCGGCAGCCCTGCGAATCCAACGTTGCTGGCGCCAGTGGCGTGCTGCCAGGGCCCGGAAAGAAGCGAAAGGAAGGCGAGGGTTAGGGTTCAGGATTTAGGGGTTTAGGGGTTTAGGGTTTAGGGTTTAGGGGTTTAGGGTTTAGGGGTTAGCGGTGTAGGGTTTCGGGCTTTGATGACTTACGGCTTACAAGGGATAGGGTATGGGGCTTAGGGCTCAGGGCTTAGGGGGTTCTACAAAAGGTTCTATGCGGATTCTCTATCAGACCTGCGTATTACCTGAGATCTATGATAGGTTAGAGTGGAAGGCAATTGCTAGGTTTGGGGTGAGATGCAGGGCATGCATCTCATGTTTACAGGCTGTAGGGTTTCTGGGTACGAATTCAGGACCTTACGGTAATAACAATCAGAATAATAATAGTCATAGGAATAATAAACTAAGAGTAGCAATAACGGTCCAAAGAATACTAGACATAATAATCGCAAAGTATATGCTAATAGCAAGAGCAATAGCAATAACGACAATAAAAATGGTAGTAGTTATAAGCCATGGCTTAAGGCCTAGGGTTTATGACACCAAGGCTCACACTAGCTCAACAGCCTTGCAGGATGTGGCCTTATGGCCCCATGGGAAAGCCTTCAAGAAGTGGGTGCTGAGAGCCTTGAGGGTAAGGATGAACGGGTGTAATATAGGGGCCTCAATGATTAGAATAGGGTTTGTAATCATAACAAGGAACCGCCAAAATAGTGTTGGTAATTATTTAGGCCCCTACATTAGGATTTAAGGGTTTAGCTGAGGGGTTTAGCGTTTTGTGGGGCCGAGGCTTTCTCATAGGAGTTGTAGTTGTGGGGTCCAGGCAATCGATGCTGCTAGACCTACCGCCTGAACCCTGGAATCCCAGGGCTCTTCGATGAGGAGATAGAATCAAATCATCTACAGATTCAGTTTAGGGTTGAGGGTTTAGGGTTCAGGGTTCAAGGTCTAGGGTTCAGGGTTTAGGGTTTAGGATTCAGGTGTAGTTCCCCCACAGTCACCAAAGCACCCCCCAAACTCTGGCCTGCAAACTCTTTCCCTAAGCCCCATTCGTAAGTCCCGGCCCTAAAACCTTGACAGCATGAACGCATAACATAAGGGCCTTAATGATTACCAAAATTATTGCGGGGGTTCCTTATTCTCAGAAATTACTAAGGCCCCTACAATACAGCACCAAATAGACGGCCCCAATTTAAAGAGTCCTATGAGACCAGCATAGAACCCCATTCGATTCATGCCTAAACCCTAAACCCAATGCCTCTTAGGAATCTTCTGATTACTTGGACGCTGTTGTGACTTACCTTTTGGGGTTAGCAAGATGGTCCATGGCGATTCTCATAGAGGTTATAGCGGATACCACGAGCTTGCACGTAGGAATCTCGTTGCCTAAAGTTTTGAACTTGGACGCCCTATGACCCGAAGCCCCCAAATCAGTGCAACACCGCAACCTGTAGAGAACCCTGAAAGAACCCTCGGGCGGACAGCGCTTGGCCCCAAACTGCTCTTGAGTCTGTTTAGGGTTTGGGGTTTCGGGTTTAGGTGGCGGTGCATGGAGCGCGGCATCCTCGTACACGAACTCGGTTTTAGTCCTGTTGGATGACTTGCATGCACATTTCTAAATCTAACTCCAATATAGTTTTCTCTACAAGTTACCAACTGTGTGGAGGATGTGGATTTTCGGAGTCATCTTTAGGGTTTAGTATAGAAGCCTAAGTAATTGCCGATACTATTTTGGGGGTTCCTTATGATAGATACAGTAGAACGGGCCCCAAAACCCTATTCTAGTTACTAAGGCCCCTACATTAGGGTTTAGGGTTCGGAGTCATCCGGCTCTGGGAGGACCACTCGGTGTTGGGGTTTGGGAATGCCTCGTAGACAGCCGGACCATGAAGACCCCCAGTTCACCAGTTCAACTCCAAGAAACGCAGACATCCTTTGAGGGTTTAGGGTTTAGGGCTTTAGGGTTTAGGGTTTGGGGTTTCGTGTGGAGAAACGGCGGTAGTTCTCTAAGCTAGGGTTCCTTTTAGGATCCTTTTTCATGAGGATGCCGTACTATCTTTGGGACCTCAAAAGGGACCCTAGAGAACTACCAAAGGATACCTCCAAGAGCACACACACACACACTATAGCCCACAGTGAGATTGCGCTGACGCGCTCACCCGCTTTGTTCAAAAGACATGCGACTGCCCTCGGATGCGAAATGGCAAGCGCGAAGCAAGAATTCACAAACCCTGAAAAGCCAAACCCTTCGTTCATAACCCGACAACAAAAATGACCACAACATCGCATCATCTAATATAAAATACATACACATGCCACTATCTCTGTGCGTGTGTGTATATGCACGTGTGTGTGTATATATATATATATATATTTATTTATTTATTTATTTATACATATATTTATATGTATGCACACACATATATATATATATATATATACGTATATACATATATACGCATCTATGCATATATGCATATATACATATGCTATACATAGTTTATACATATAGTATAGTAGAACAATAGAAAGCAAAGGTATATATATATATATACACATATATATATATATACACATGCACACATAAGCGGCTCTGCTTTCGCTTGAGCACAGGCGGCCAAAAAGCCGACGCCGGCAACGGCACGCCGCGGCCGAAGAGTGGCGCCTCGCTTGCAGCTCCTTTCTGCTTCGTTTATAAAGGGGTTCCGTTTAAGGGTTCCTTTTAAGGGTTCCTTTTTAAGGGTTCCCCAAAGGGCTCCTTTAAGGGCTGGTTCGTTTAAGCGGCTCCTTTAAGGGGTTCCTTGATGGTTTCTATAAGGGGTACTATAAGGGTTCCAGGGGTTCTTCGGCCTCAGGGTCCAGGGCTTTGGGTTGTAGGATTTCGCTTCAAGTGCTCACGCCGATTAAAGTGAAAGTTTTAGCATATGGAGCATTCTTGCGATTCCGGGCTTTGGAATTTATCCTGAGGTTTTAGTACTGTCTGCCTGCATTTGTGTGTGCGTGTGCTTTTTCTCGCATGTCCAACCCATAACCCTAAACCCTAAGCCCCTAAACCCTAAACTTGCCCTATAAACCATGTGTCTGGCATGCCTGGCACGTTTTGAGTTTTCCTGAGTCCGGAAGCCCTGCGGCTGCGATGTAACCTTCAAAATCCCACATCATGGTTTAGGGGTTTAGGGGTTTAGGGTTTAGGTTTTAGGGTTTGGGTTTAGAGTTTAGGGCTTCCTTCCCCTTCTTCCCTCCCTCTTTCGACCTGTTTCCCTCGAGCCCTTTCTCTGTCGAGCTCTCTCGCACTCCATCTCTCCCTCTCCCTCTCCCTCTCTCTCTATCTCTCTCTCTCTCTCTCTCTGTCTTTCTTTCACGTGTCTCGGGAATATGCACGTATCACCGTATTTACTTATTTATTTACATACATATGCATGCATGCACCTTGTACATGTGTGTGTGTATATATATATATATGAGCATACAAAGAATCACACGACGAGATTCAACAACATAAAGAGGTCCCACACATACGCACACCCGTAAAGGCCCACACTGCTTTCCCAAGGTGGGCATGGCAGGAGGAGTGGCATCTTGGGTCCATTTCGGATGATTTTTTGGATACCCGTTGTTTGCGTGGTTTAGGGTTCCGGGTGCGACTGTTGGCAAGAAGCATCCCGAAGCCCTGAACCCTAAACCAGCCCTGCTTGACATCAATCAATTTTGCTTGCGCGAAGCATCGTGCTGAGTTGACGAATCAGTCCCTCACACTTGATCTTGGCACTTGAATTGCAGCTTAACCCCGTGTGGGTTTTGTAGTCTACGGTGAGGAGCCAGTACTCGGTAGAGTCGGTAAGCTCAGACCAGGGTCTAGGAGACGCATCCCGAGGCCAAATATTCGTGAAACCTTTTGAACGACCCCCCTAATTGACCAAATCCCTCCTGAAATCCTGCACCGACCGGATCCGACCGGAACAAGGAGCTGTGGGCAGCTTTGACGGGTGTACAGAGCACGTAGATTCGTTCGAGTCTGTAAGGACGAGGGTCGTATCCGCGCCGAACCCGACATCAGAACCCTAAACCCATAGGCCCCATAGTAGTTCCTTGTTTGGGATTACCCAATAGGATCCTAAATATAAGCCACAAAAAGGAACTAACTACTATGAGGCCCATGGCTAAACCCTAAACCGTGGCTCTGTCAGAGGTCCTCTTGGCCAGCCGAGGGGGGGCTACGGCGGCAGCGTGGGAAGTCGATGTCCTCGCGGACGCAGTGGTGGAGCTGGGAAGGACGACAGTTAGGGCTTCGGGGTTAGGGTTTGGGGTATATTCGTGTTTTTGGTGAGTGTTTATTTTGCGAGATATTCTGAGGATATGGGATACTGGTAAAAACGGCATAGCCCTTGTTCGTATGACAGAGGTACAACCCTAAACTCAAGCGGGAATGCCCCGAGAAAAAATGGCTCCAATCTCTGAGACCTTGCCTTGAGCTCCCGTGCCTGCAGCCTTAGGCCCCAAGATCAGAAATCATGTAGGGTTTAGGATTTAGGGTTTTGCGGTTTATAATAGGATTTGGGGTTTAGGGTTTAGGATTTGCGGGTTGGGGTCTAGGGTTTAGGATTTGGGGTTTAGGATGTAGGATTTAGGCTTTAGGGTTTAGGGTTTAGGGTTTAGGGTTTGGGGGTTTAGGGCTTTAGGGTTTAGGGTTTAGGACTTGGGGTTTAGGATTTAGGGTTCAGGGTTTAGGGATTTAGGGATTTAGGGTTAACCCCCGAAGCCGCTTGTTTTAGCTTCAAGGTTTTGGATTAGCTGACCCTTGGACGAGAACTTGCAACGGGAGGAGCTGAAAAGGGTGATGCGCGTCCCTACCACGCTCAGGCGGGGCCCGCCCTACTCTGCCGGTTGAAGGTTCGCGTTTAAGTTCGCACCCCTGAACCAAAGCGCGACCACAACAGGCACCTTGCTCAGCGTCTTCAAACTGATCCATTAGCAAGAATTCGTAATCGGCCTCAATCTACAGGGGCATTCCTAACATCATATGACGGATTCTCGTAGCTACTCGATCTTTGGGGATTCCAGCACGAAGGCTCTTGCATACTTGAGGGCTTGGGTTCCTGAGTAGAACTACATCATAAAACACCTGAAAAGCCTGTTCCCTTAAAGAGCCCGCTATTCTAATTATGGAGGTCTCTGCGGTTGAGGGTATGGGTTGCAAGCGCGTTCTCATTGGCTATTGCTCTAGCATTGCCTTACGTACAGCAAGAGCCTTTATGGACGCCCATAAACGGCTATGGCACTTTACGAGCCCCATAAGCACAAACCCGATTGGGTTTAGTGTTTCGGGTGTCCCAAAGAGAACAGGAGCCCTTCAGGTTTTAGGCTGGGTTTAGGGTTTAGGGTTTAGGCTAAACCCTTAACCGTTTTAGGTTTTGGGTTGAGGGGTTTGAGGCAGAGAGTGTTTGCAGCGGCGTGGGCCTGAACAGTTGCCAAGATTTTTCCTTTTCTTCGTTAACCCAGATTCTAAATACATGATAATACCCCAAAAATGCCAAACCCGCAAAGCTCCACAAAAACCTCTATCTAATACGTATTGCCTCCTTGTCACGACTTCTGTATATAAGTCCTTGAAGCGGTAGGTTTTTCAGGGCGAAGGCAAGTCCCAAACCCCCGAATGAGCTTAAACCCAAAGAAAAGTCCTCGAAGAGCAAGGCTTGGAAGCATCTTCCCGAAGCGCCGAAGACGTTGCGCTGGGTGCCGAAGACTCCTTGCCGCTTTTGGCCTCGGTGTTTTTTTGGGGTGTGACGGGGTTCCTTCTAAGGGCTCCGGTAGAGGGCTATACAAGGTTTCTAGGGGGAACTATACTACATGAACTCCAGAAAGAGAAGGGTGGAAATGAACCTCATAAACGGGTTTGGGGATAGTTCGAGAAGGGCTTCTCTAAGGGTGCCTTGAAGGGAATTGGGTCGTGGAGTGTCTTATACTATAGTTGTTGCAGGGAGCCCCTAAAGAATACTTGAATAGCACTCTTCAAGAAACCGTAGACGAAGCCCTGAAGAATCCTGTGGATGGCTGTATACTATCGTTTTTCTTCCACTAAACTCTGAACCCGAAAAACACATTATAAGGCCCTTGCAGGAGCCCCTTAAATGGCACACCTTCAAACCCCCAAGCCTGTGAAAGGAACCCCTCCAGAGCCTGAAAGAGCCCTTTGTCAGGAGCCTCTTGAAAGAACCCCTTCAAACCCTATTGACACCTCACAAGCCCTGGGAACCCCGATAAAAAAAAAAAACCTTGAAGGAACCCTTAACCCTAGACCATTTTCAACTCTGAGAAACGCTTGAACCCTTCTTTTTTAGCGCCCTTAGGGAAGTCCTTGGGGGGGACCCTCAAAGAAAACCCTGATAGCAACCCTGATGGGAAACCTTTTCGGAGCCCTTAAGGGGACCCTGATACGAACCCCTATATGGGAACCCCTAAATCATAACCCTTATAGGAACCCTTGAGCCCTAAACCCAAGACCCTAAGACGGAATCCTTAAAGGAAACCCAGAGACTTCCGAGGAAGCCTCTGTTGAACCCTTTTTGCACCCTCATGGAGCCCTTAAGGGAACCCAAGGACTTCCTCGGGGCCTAAACCCCAAACCCCTAAACCCCTAAACCCTAAACCGTAACCCTGAGACTTCCGAGGAAGCCCCTTTTTGAACCCTAACCCCAAGCCTAAACCCTAACCCAATCCCAAAACCCGAAACCCTAGGCCCTAAACCCTGAACTCTAAACCCTAGGCCCTAAACCCTAAACTCTAAACCCTAAACTCTAAACCCTACACCGTAACTGCGAGACTTCTAAGGAAGCCCTTAAAGGAACCCAGCGACTTCCGAGGAAGCCAGCGTCCGAGTTTCAGGACACGGCCACGGAGGTCTCGACCATGGTCTCCGGCCACACCACGGCCGGGGCCCTGGGGGGGCCTTCGGCAAGAAGGGCTCCCTGGAAGAGCTCGTAGGGCTGAGGGCTTAGGGTTTAAAACTTAGGGCTTAGGGCGTAGGTTTTAGGGCTTAGGGTTTATTGCTTAGGGTTTAGGGTTAAAGGGGGTTTTCAGAAGGGCTTCATAAGGGTGCCATGGGGGCTTGCGAAGATGAAATGGGGGCTTATACGGTTTCATAGGCTATATGACAAAACCTGCTGAAAAAAAGTGTGAACCTACATTCCGCAGAGTTAGGCCTAAAAGTTTAAGAGAAAACAAGCAGAAACTCCCAAGTTCGAAGAGCTTACTAAAACCCTAAGCCTAAACCCCTAAACACTTCTCCCAATACCCTAAACCCTAGACCCCTAAACCTAAACCCCCAAACCCTAAACCCTTAAACCCTAAACCTAAACCCCTAAAGCCCCTAAAACCCTAAACCCTAAACCCTGGAAGCCCGGAGCCCCGTCTCCAAACCGCTCTTCCCGCGCTTTCGGAAAGAGCCCTCGTCACAAGGTGAAGCCTCGATGGACTTGGAGGGCGGAGGACTTGGGGGGCTTAGGGGGTTTAGGGTTTAGGGTATAGGGTTTAGGGGGGTTAGGGCTTAGGGGGTTTAGGGGGTTTAGGGTTTAGGGGGTTGAAGGGTTTAGGGTTTAATAAGGTTTCCTATCAGGGTTACTTGAAGGGTTTAGGGCTCAAGGGTTCCTAACCTGAAGACATCCCTGAAGCCTTCCAGCCTGAAAGCGTAGGAGTTCAAAGCCGCACCTTCAGACCTCACAGCATTGGGCTCATAACTTGATCACTAGAACCGGGTTTTCGGAATATGTTACACCAGGCTTGCATGAAGGAAGCCTACGGAATAATATAGGGGCCTAAATCATTAACTATACTATTGTGGGGGTTCCTCATTATAGTTACAGTAGAATATACCCCAAAACCCTGTGCTAATTATTAAGGCCCCTACATTACTATTATGGCACCGCAAGCTCAGGAGGCGAAGCTGCGCAGCCGAAGCCAGCCGCCCCACAGCCGACGTTCCACCACGCCTCCACCTCGAAATGTGCTGCTTCTTGGCTGAATACAGGAGCTTGAAGAAGTTATGTTTGACCCTGTTTGTTTAAGAATCTCTAAAGGCTTCTGTCCTCGACACTTGCCATTTGACGTTTTGTAGTAGCACTGCTAAGCATTATGAAGTCGAAAGAACATTTCCTGTGACTCAGTGTCCTTTCTGCGTTCGGCCTGCTTCCAAGCAAAGCATACGAGCGGCCCGACGGGAAATCCGGAAGCCTAACACGAGGATCACCAAACCAAGAAGCCTAAAACACCAAGTCCCCCAACCCTCTATCTGAAGACCATTTTATGTACGGGCCTGAATAGTTAGAGTAAGGTTTTGGGATATGTTATACTATAACCATATTAAAAGGAACCCCCAAAATAGTATTGGTACTTATGTCGGCGTCTATATTACATCTTCGCGCGCTACCAGAGTTGCGACCCCGATGGCTCTTCATGCCAGCTCGAAGTCTCCGACTGCCGCAACCCTAAACACAAGACTGGAGCCTGAGATCGGTGATATGGAGATTTGTATGAAAAGATACTGATAGTGTTCTGAAGCGATTCCTGCTTTTTTGTAGTGTAGAAACCCTGAAAAGCCGAGTCGCATTCTTCCGGCCATCCGTATACGGACATTATGTTGTAATATAGCCTGCTGAACTCTATTGTAGCGTACTATCTCATTATGTTGCAGCATGCCGTGCTTTATTGCGCTGTATTGTGTCATGGTGTATTCTGTTGTGATATGTTATGTCAGTGTTGTGGAATCATGCTCAGACATTGTGTGTTATGCTATGTTATGTTAGTTTGGTTATCTTGTGTTATGTTCGTTGTGTTTGTGTTTTGGTATGGCATGTTTCGTTGTGTTGTATTAAGTGTTGTTGCTTTGCTCTGTTCTGCTGTTGTATGCTTTGCTCTGCAGCAGGCAGAAATTGGCATCATCAGAAACCTACCTCATAGGCTTTATTCTGTCATACTATTCCCTAAACTTGTAAATAGGGAGGCCGAAGCCATGCATCCGAATAGTAGCACTAAACCTGACGCTCGGGGGCCCTTCGTAAATCCTGGCGACGAACTGATGAAAGGTCTTCTGACCTTGAACATTTACCACGGTAGTCCACTGCCGTGCTTGTTGAGAATATACAACTTTGAAGCAATCCCAATATAGAACCCCCAAAAATATGGTCTTGGGTCCCATATGGGATTGTTTTCTAAGTGAGCATGCTGTTGGGGGTTGGGTGAAGCTACGTCAGTTTTGGATTTCGGGAGAATGTCACGTTGGGTCCTGATGTGCAGAAGGGCGACACTTCCAATTGGGGAACGCGGGTATGCCTGCTTATACACCTCTGTTCATGGTTTTCACGTCTGCTTGACAGTTTCCTTGCCTGCGATAGAAATTGGACATTTCCAGGGTGCCACACCTTTAACTCAACTGACGTCAAAAAGAGGGGCGTGTACCTAAAAGACAGTCTTGGAACTCTGGATTAAGACGGGCCTCGACCGTTGACGACTGAAGTACAGTAGTCGCAAAGCCAGGAAGACAAGCACTTCGTTGAGAGCAGCTGTCTGATACAAAGCTTGGTGACCAACCGCCTTATGCCATGAAGATTGTTCCAGGCATGTTTGACTTGCCGTGCCAAGTTCCAAATTGCTTTGATCAGAACCGTTTTGAACCCTGAAGCCGTGGCCCAAACTCGAAGATGGTTCCACACGTCTCTGACGAGTAGGCTTGCTACTCCTGCGCAGCAATGTTGAGATGGCTCTCCTTCTTCATGGGGTTGCACCGCGGGTGTACCAACGACTGCACGCGGATTGCCCGGAGAATGCATCCGGCAGCTCCAGTGAAACGCTCGAGAATCCTGCCTTCTTCGTTCGCGTGGCCGTTCCGGCAGCTGGATGCATCACTGCTCCTTGGCCCTAAACTGAATAACTTGATAGTTTTATCCGCTCATAGCCTTAGGTATACAAGACCCCCCATGTTAAATCCGAGCGGCATGATCCTCATAGGTTTCGGATGCAGGGTAAGCCCATGCATAATCCACATGGGGGTTCGGCTGTGGGTCCAAAAGCAATAGTTCTCGGTCCTGCAGGCGAAGCTATTACACGGAGTACTGACGAACTCGACGATGGTCCAAAAAGCCCACACCCCAAGGCCTTTGAGCAAACTCGGTTTAGGGTTTAGGGTTTCACCAATGCTCGAAAAGCATGTCCAAAGTACTTGGAGCTACCCACCCCACTTAACCCAAGGAGGCAAAACTAATGTAGGGGCCTATTAAGTAATTACCAATATTGTTTTGGGGGTTCCCTTTTATGATTACAGTAATGGGCCCCCAAAACCCTTATACACCCTAAGCTGTAACCCACCGCAACCATGGCGAGCCAAGGTGCTGATTGCTGTTGCACTCTTGCAGAACCGAGCAGTCGTGTCAGAGCAAACTGAAGGCCGCTCAAGGGAACGTAATATAGGATGAGGTTTCCTTATTGTCATACTATAGCATAACAATATAAGAAGACCTAATACACTTATGTTATGATTACTACTGTTATTCCCAAGGGCTCCTTATTGTAGCGATATTGCACTATACTTTTCGCCCAAAGCCGGGCCCCTAAACTGCAGTGTTGGCTAGGGTGTAGGAAAGTTTAGGTTTCAAGCCTTAGCACAGTTTTAGGGTTTAGGAAAGTTTGGGTGAAGGAAGTTTAGCGTGTGGGAGAGTTTAGGGCAGTCAGCTTAGGCTTCAGGAAAGTTTAGGGTATGGGCAATCGTGGGTTTTAAGGGCTGTCGGAAAATTTAGGGTTTATTGTTTCTTAGCCTAGCCCAACTCCTGCAATGCGTGGGCCGTGAGTTTCACAGCCTCTGTAAATTAGGGTCCCGTTTAGGGTCCTGTTTATAAGAGCGCCGTACTATATTGGGGACCCAAAAGGGAAAAAGGGACCCTACTTTAGAGAACTACCCACTGACAACGATGGCCACTAAAGCCCAAACCCTAAACCTCAAACCCCAAACCAAAGCCGAAAGCAGGAACATCAGGTCTGACAAAAATGGCAGCTGGAGCTGCGATTTGGGAGTGGCCAAGGCCTGCACGCTGGAGTGCAGCCGCTGGTAGCAAGAGGTACGCCGTGGCTTATGTTGCTGAGCTGCACCACCCTAAAGCCTAAACCCGAAACCCTAAACCCTATAATCCCAAACCCTCCAACCCTAAACCCGAAAGAGTTTCCAGGGTTTCGAAGTTGGCGGCTTTGGGTTTAGGTTTCAGGTGGGGGTTTCGGGTTCAGGTCGCTGGCCTTCAGACTCATTGCTATTGTGATTACTTTTTGGTTTGAAGGGGGGGTTTAGGGTTTAGGGTTTAGGGGGGGTTCAGAGTAATTGTCATTGTGATTACTTTGTGGTTTGAAGGGGGGGGTTAGGGTTTAGGGTTTAGGGGGGGTTAGGCTCTGTGTCCAACTCTTCTTGGTTTGAAGGGGGGGGTTTAGGGTTTAGGGTTTAGGGGGGGTTAGGCTCTGTGTCCAACTCTCTGTCTTCAAGCTCTCCAAAAGAATTCGGTTGCCCATGAGACTGGCGTAGGCTTTTCAGTCACAACAAGGACCCACTTGGAGAACTGCCCATCTACAAAGAAGTTGAGGGTTTAAGGGTTCAAACCCTAAACCCTAAACCCTAAACCCTAGGTAGTTTAGGGCTTTTTGCAAGCGCCGCTGCCATGAACCTACGGGTCCAAGTCCCCCCATATTTCGGTGCGGTTTAGGGTTTAGGGTTTAGGGTTTAGGGTTTAGGATCGCAGGAACCTACAGGAAGAGATTTTCGGGAGTATGTGGTTGTTCGTTATTCGGATCCTAAGTAAGGGGGTTTTATAATATAGATCGTCTAGAATGATAAACTAATGATAAACTAAGAATCAAACAATAATGGTTATAAATTCAACCTAAAACCCCGAACCTGAAACCCTCAACCGAAGCCTCCAACCCGATATGGACTTCAGTGTACTTACGAGGGCTTTGCCTTTGTTGGATATTGGACTACAACTCTAATGTAGGGGCCTTCAATAATTAGAATTGGATTTGGGGGCTTTCTTATTGTTATTATTATTACAGTGTAATATACCCCAAAACCCTATTCGAATTATTATGGCCCTACGTTAGACTAGCCGGGTCAGGGTTTACGATTGAGGCTTGCGGGGTTCAGGGTTGAGCTTTTAGAACGAGTGCATTGCCACGGAGACCAGTCGCTGGCAAGCAGAACGATTACCGAAAGACTCTGTAGGGTGGACCCTTCAGCCCTGAACTCTCGACACCCAAGCCCAGGCCCTAAACTCAATCTCTTTCACCGCTCCCCAAAGAGTACACTACATACCCTGGTTCTACAAGGCCCAAACCCCAAGCCCTATCTAAAGGGCCGTTCAGACTTTAAGAAAGGTCTGGTCAGATCCAGCCATTTTCTTCTCGGAGCAGAACTGGTCGATGAAGGCCAGGGTAGACATTTCTTAGAACGTCTTTCCGACTGCTTGTGCTCTATGACTTGATCGTGCCGTTTTGGGCCTAGTAGTTTCTAACGCTTTAGTAGGAGAAAAAACCCTAAACCCTATACAAACCCTAAACCCTAAACTCTAAACCCTAAACCCTAAACTCTAAACCCTAAACCCTAAACTTACAGTAGGTACCGTGAAGGAGGGATCCTTCGTGGGACCCTATGCGCAAGGACGGGGCGTCTGCGCACTGGCAGCCAGCGCCCACGCGAGCAGGACCCAGTTAGGGTTTAGGGTATAGGGGCCGGAATACCTGCAGACTAATCGTATGTTTTTGAGGGTTCCTAGCTTCGATATGTCCCGCTCCCATTTCTTAAAGCCCCAAAATCTGTACCTGAAATGTAGTTCCTGTTTCTGGTCTTCTTCTTATCATAGCATCTTGCAACTCAGCGTCCCGAGAGAGCTCAAAGTTTCAGCCTTCCACTTGAGGCCCTTTGGGGTGTAAGGCCCTGGGGTCCAGGTGTCCACCCCAAAGACCTAAACCGCCTAAACCCTGAAGCCCGAAAAGCCCTCGACGGCTGAGCCCCCAAGCCCTGTAGCCCAAAACCCTAAACCCGCTAAACCCAAAACGCCCAACCCACTAAACCCTAAACCCCCTAAACCCCCTAAGCCCCCTAAACCTCTAAACCCTAAACGACACGAGCAGGGGCTTCGTGCAAGAGGCAGCCGGTCTCAGTGCTTCGGTGGATGCCCTGGTGCTTACCGATGGCATGGACAGCAACCCGGTTTAGGATGTTTAGGGTGTGGGGTTTAGCATCCTGGGTTTAGGGTTACATCTAGGGTTTGGGGTTATAGGGTGTTGGGTTATAGGGTCTAGGGTCTAGGGTTTAGGGTTATAGGGTTTAGGGTTTAGGGTGGCTGGTCTTTACGGTTTAGAGTGTAAGGTTTTCGGCCCCTGGGTTGAGGGCCGGTGGCACGGACAGCCATCGGTTCAGGTCAACGCTTATTCTGGAATCATAGGACTCATTGGGTTTAGGGTTTCGTTGCTTGGGACTCCTTGTATGGATCAAAGAGGTGGCAACAGTCCTTCCAGCATGGGATCAAGCAGTGTTGCATTGGTCCTGCGGCACCCTCTAAGCAAAAGTTCTTATGACAAAAACTCAGGCAAGAATGTCTCGTACCTCTTGGAGATGGGCATAAGAGTGCTCCACACCAACCTGACAAGCTTCTACGACTTCGAGAACTTCGACCTGGGCACTCCGTACCATGTCGATCCTCAGGCGTCCTTCTTCAAACTGAGGGCCAGCACTTTGAAGGCCGGGCCACTGGGTTCTTGTTAAGAAAGCTTTCGGGTTCAGGGTTTAGGGTTTAGGGTTTATGTAAGTCACCTCAATGCGGAAACCCTATTATTCGTTTTACATATTTTTGTGGTGGTAACTTGAAATATGAGTTCCGTAACAAGAACCAAGGCTTGCGGCACTGACGGACTACGAAGCCATCTTCTTCTTAGACGTGGATGCTTACTTTTATGCTCCCCCGGACTTGGAAACCATTGACAACGCGATGGCAGGAGGTGGGCGGACTTCTTGGAATTTACGGTTGCTTTTTGAACTGAGGTGATCCTCCATCTAAACGACATACCCATCACTGGCCTCAAACCCCACATGCAGAGGCGTTGAGTTTCTGAGCTATCGGTGCCTGCATGCGCCCTTGGCAGTTGGCAATTTCATCCTCAAGCCGAACCAAGGGGCTTTCAGTGACATGATGGATCTGCTGTCTGCCGGCTTCACGCCAGAGAGGGGATGGGGGTTGCGGGATTTCAGGATCGGCCCTGATGGCTGGCATCTGAATTGCGACGACCCCGGTTGGGAATCCAAAGCGTATTGCGCAGATCGCAATACTTCAAGATGGGACTTTCTAGGTGCCGAAGGCGACAAGGGACTCTTATTCACCGAGTACAGCGTCATTCGGCGAGCTTTCCGAACTTTGCAGAAGTCTGACTACACGCAAATGACCAAGAGCTACAACTTCTTCGGCCCCGTAAAGCCCTGGATGCCGATCGAGCGATGTGAGATTCTTTCGGACGTGAACCATTGGAATCTGCACCCAATCGGCCACATTCCGCAGTTTTGGGAGCTCTATGAGAAGTATAGCCGCAGCAAAATGATACATGCAAAGCCACTTTACTGCGTCTCAGACTTGGACCGGAGCCGGGCTTCCTTCAGATCGTGTCTCTCCGTGCACATGTAGACGTCGACTGCAGGACGCGGCGACGGCTGATCAAGAACAGGTTCCCTCAGGTCGGTTTAGGGCTTAACGTTTAGGGTTTAAGGCTTAGGGTTTAGGGTTTAAGGTTTATACTCATAGCCCAAAATAAGCTCTCTCACCTCTGACGCCCAAACCCGCAGCCCCAAAACCCTAGACATTGGGTTACAAACCAAGGCCATGGAGAGCTTGGATCAAAATCTTGTGGCTGAGAAGTTGCCGAATCGAAACCATCCTAAACCCTAAACCGGCTAGAGTAATATACAGGCCTGAATACTTACCAACATTCTTCCCGTGGGTTCCTTGTTATATAACTATACGATGATGTACCCCGAAAGTCCTCCTCATGTTTTATCATTTACATGTAATCACTAACGTGTTTTTGTGGTTGGTGGTGTTATTCTTATTGTTAGTGTTCTTGTCAGTGCCTATAGTATTGGTACTTATAAAGTGCTTCTTGTTAAGCTTCTTACTATCATTATCGGGATTATTGTCAATATCATTAGTGTTTATTAGTATGATGATCACGACGATTATTATTACTATTGTTATTAGTATTAGTAGTATTAGTAGTATTGGTAGTATTGGTAGTATTGGTACTAGTGGTGGTAGTAGTAGTAGTAGTAGTAGTAGTAGTAGTAGTAGGTGGTCGTAGTAGTAGTAGTAGTAGTAGTAGTAGTAGTAGCAGTAGCACTAGCACTAGCAGTAGCAGTAGCAGTAGCAGTAGCAGTA